TGCAATATTTTTGGAATAAATTATGTATTCCTATTTTGGCAAAAATTTATTTTTCCAGCTCACATTAGTGCCTTTCAAAGTAGAAAAGTATCAAATTACACATTATACTAATCAATTTCCAGTAAGCATTTAAGTCATACCACAAAAACATCTGTAATAATTATTTGCATGTACTAAAGAGATGTTACCAATTTAAAGATTAGAGATTTTGTTAAAAAGATTCAAGAAATAATTTATAAATGTGTATTTTATACATAAACTTTTCTTGTCTTCTCATTCACAGTATAACAGAAGCATTATGCAGTATCACTGAAGCCGAAGAGAAACAGTGCAACTGCCCAGCATTACTCTCCTCTTCAGCAAAGGAAGCAAAGGCATGGTGGAAGCAGAGGCCTGGTACCCTTTATCCTGTCAGCTTTCATTACTCTCCAATGGTTTCATTAGACAGGCAAAGACATTTTACAAGAAAAATCAGAGTCACACAGCTCTTTTCTCAGCATCTCCTGGTCAGCGGGAAAGCTGTGTGCCTTATTCCTCCAACCCACCTTTGCCATTTAAAATATACATACAGGGATGGGGTGCCAAGTAAGCAACCATCCCTCAGTATTAGTTGTTGCAGCTGGAGTAACAATTTAAGGACATTATAGTAAGCATCCGTTTGCCTAAGTCACTGCATCATAGTTTGGATCCTGGTAAGCTAACGTAATTCCCTGTTCTCCTGTTATTTCCACTGTGAAAATATTTTAGTATAATTTCAATTAAACAGAGTACTTCTGGAGAGCTAGCCTAGTTCACGCATTCACATAAGACCATAAAGAACTATTACAAGAGAGCTATTCACTGATTTGTCCCACTGAGCTAACTGTCCTTTTCAACAGTTTTCTCTTGACTAAGTCAAAGAAAGAAATTCTAATTTCAAAATAAAGGCTACTTCAAAAACACCCTGTTTCAAGGAGCCAGCATCAGAGCACATGAACTATTTCTTTCCAACCTAGAAGAAATCCTACTAGGTGGTCTGTTTTATTCAAAACAGAGTTAAATAATTAAACTATAGTAAAAAAAAAAAATTATTGGACTGATACCATTTTCACATCTTAACAGAATTTCTTTACTAATAGAGTTAAAAATTAAATGCACAAATGAACTGCTACGTAAGTTAACAACCTTTACAGCAACCTGGAAAGCTGCTAATTAAGGCAGAATTATACTAGTCTGTGTCTTCCAACACTGCATAATTAAGATTCGGAACTCCTTGGCACATAGCTCTGCAGATGCTAAAAGTTTACACAAGAGCAGAAAGCAATGAGACAAATTTGTGGAAGAAAAATCTTTCAAGCACTTCTAAACACAGAGAAGTCCCAGGGCCAAAGCTTGCTGGAGGCTGGGAAAAGCATCGTGGGGGAAGTACTGCTACATGTTTAGACTGGAAATTAGGAAAAATTTCTTTACGGAAAGGGTGGTCAGGCATTGGAACAGGCTGCCCAGAGAGGTGGTGGAGTCACCATCCCTGGAGGCGTTTAAAAAACGGGTAGATGTGGCACTTCGGGATATGGTTTAGTCTGGTCTACCCTTGATTAGTCTAGAGTGGGCTTGGTAGTGTAGGTTAATGGTTGGACTGGATGATCTTAAAGGTCTTTTCCAACCTAGATGATTCTATGATTCTATGATTCTATGTTTGTACCATTTGTATGACTCTTTCCCAGCCATCCACTGTTGGATGCTGTCAGGATACTAGGCTAGACAGATCTTTCATTTAAGCTAGCACTGAAGTAAAGGCATCCAAATACAAGTAGATATTCAATGGAGGCTTACATGTTTAAGATACTTTGTTATCATAGAACTCTAGAAGTATGTAGGAATAAAACACCTAAATCATGTAAGAGATCTGTAATGCTAATATGCTACCTAAATAACATATAGATCTGATCCTAAGCATGTCCAACTTAAGAGAAAGTACCAGTGCAGAATTTCCATAAGGTTTGAACAACATCCATGAAGCTTTTTTTCTTTTTTTTTCCTAAAAAGATAGATGCCTCCTGTTTTAGAAGCTACAAAGAAATAATTGACTACAAATCTAGCCTGATGAGAAAGTGGAGAGAACAAATACCCACTTCTCAGCATCATGAAGGATATAGAATGAGAGAATTGCACTAGAAAAATTCATCGATTTAAAGTAAAAACAATTACTGCATATTATTACCAACATCATTCAAATTAACAAAACAAGTCAGAAATCAACCCTTCATACACAACCATTCTAGAGTTTTTCCTAACAAAGTCTATCTGGATCCCTTATACGTGTATGATATGTTGACAAAGCAATCCAACAATACACTTCTCTCAAAATAATTCAGGAAAGGCTTCAAAGCTATAAAGTATTTCTCAAACCAAATACAAAACCAAGTAAGATCTAAACCTTCTGCAGCTATATAAAATGAAAGCCTCCTTCAGCATTACTGTATTAAAATGACTTTATGCTTATTCAATTAATTATTTTGCAGAATCAAACTTCCTTCACTTCACAGACAACAGGACTGAGGAAGAGATGTGACAGCATCCAGGGAAAAAAAAGAGCTGTCACCACACCTTGGAAAACAGCCAGCTTTGCTGCTTGGGTTTTGCTGGGCTTTTTTGTGGTTTGTTGTTTTTGTTGTTTGGGGTTGGTTTTTGGGGTTTTTTTGGGGGGGGGAGTTATACAAGAAAAGAATTACAATAACAACAAAGATTTTTAAACTAAACAATATAGCAAGCTTCCTAAGTTACATAACACATTCACTGAAGTGCCATGATTTTACTTTCTCTTTTCCTTTCTCCGAACTTTAAACAATGTATTTTTCAGCCATATTTTGAGTAGCTACCTTCCTAAAAATAATCTTTCCCAGTCTAATCTGTCCAGCTGGTTGAAAGAGGCCATACATCTCTTGTTCTCATCCTTAATCCAAATTAAAATCCTTTTTGCAGAAGTTCATTTTTATTTAATACAGGGGAAAAAAAAGTATCCTTGTACCTCTGCATACAGACGGAGGCAAAAGCTCCCCAATATCAACAAAATAATGGATCCTGTCACTTTTGCCATCTAAGCCACACAAAGACACTGCAATTACAAGCTGATCTCATAACTTTAGTGAGGTGTCTTGCGTCAAGAGGGCTTTGGAAGGTACCCAATTTATCATTTTAAGTCTGGTCGCGTTCAGTGCACTGAAATATCACGATTACGGATGCACAAATAACATAGGCACCTTTTGTCTAGTCGCGTTGCATGAACTACTACAGACACACTTAAAGCGTCTGGTCCCGTTCAATGAGAACTATCACGGCTAGACCAATGAATCAAAGCAATTTATTAAAGCAACAGACACACAGGTTCTTTGGATTACCGGCGATAAATTCACTGACTGCAAGGCACATGCAAACACCAAAGCATGAATAACACAGATGCATCAAAAGGCATAAAGTGACTCTATAGAGGTTTCTAAGTTTCCCGGGGAGGCACTTGGTATAACCAAGTGTTCAAAACTTACCCAAAGGTGTCCCGATGAGGGGGGAAGAGAGGCTCAGCCTGTCGACTGATCGCAGAAGTCAGAGTGGTACGCAATGGTATCCTCCCTAACATCCCCTCTCTCTTAGGCTAACTTATACTGTTTTTTAGCTTTCAGGTGGAGCTTGAGTGACTCTAGTCATACATGCTTTTATGATGATTGGTGTAAAACTTTCTCGCTTTGCTTTAAAGGTATAGGCTAGGAAAAATTCAAAGCGCAAGCTCAGTGAGGAGTGGTCGCACCTTAAGAGGCGGGTAGGTTTTGGCATGGAGGTGTGTTTTGGTATTATAATGATATTATAATGAGCAAAGTTTACCAAAGGACAGCATTTTGTCAAAAACATGACAGGTTGTTGGCCCAGGGTCTCATATTATACCCTTTCCTATTGTCCTTCTTCATTCATCCATTGTTTGCCCAAGCTCTCGCAGTGTTCCATTATACTGCACTCTGTTCCTTTGGCAAGTACATCTACAATAAGTTGTTTGCCGTGTTCTGGCACAGTCAGGACTATACAGGGACTAAAAGCAGCAGCAATAAGGCAACAAATACTTCATCTTTTCATGTCCGTAGATAGACCAAGTCTCCGGGTTTGCGGGAGTGTACTGGGGAATCCAAGGGCACAGGAGCTGCCCCGGCTGGGCAGGATGCTTCACAGCAGTCCCACCTGGGGTGCCACGCAGAGCCTGGCCATGGTGTCTCCACACCACTCCACCCTCCGGGCAGTTCCTCTTTAGGGCCAACATACCAAGTTCCCCTGGTGTTGCTGACGTCTAAGGCTGCAGGCCCAAGGAACTTCCATGAAATGTATTCCTTGCATGCCAGCTGCACTCCACCCTGGAGGCTTCTTCAGTGCTGTGCCTTTCCTAAAATTGTGAATCTAAGTTTAACCTCTAAATCACCTCCAGCAATTACTCCACTAGGCATTAATGGCTGCAAGCCTTTTTCCTCAAAACAGCTTTAAAATAAAGGCTTAGATGAATTGACATCATAAGTGTACTCTATTTAATGCTCTTTTCTAAGACTAATTTATCTATGTAATACTTAATACGAAAACAGACTGGAGCATATCTTTTGCATACAGTATCCCTGTTTAATATTGATAGTATTAAGAACTCTTTAGAAAGAGCAGGCAGATTTTTAATCGTCAAATTTGCTAATCTATCACAGTAAGTCTCTCCCTGCTCCTCCCAATACAATTTTTAAGTATTTCAGTTGCTTTTTCCACATTGTAGCATCCTAATTCATGTCCTAACAAAGATGTTGTTTATTGTGAGTGGCTGGGATAACAGCATTATTTTAATTCCTGTTAAAAGACACCCTGTTGTGCTGGGAAAAATGAAAAAACTAAGTTGTGCTGTAGTTTATGCACACAACAACTACCCGATGTTGCACCGTATCTGTTCACAATCACAATGTTTTATTTTTTAATTTCTAAACTGATAAAGAATTGTCATGCTTTACCTGTGATTTCATCTCATAAAGCGTAGCATCCTCTGGAGTTAACTGAAGTGCTTCATCCCACTTGTGAATAGCCTCTCGGTACCTGTAGTTAAAACAACATTAGAGTCTCACTATCTTTAAAGATATTACATATTTCTATGTCTATCCTGACATTGTCCTAAATAAAGTGCCATGGCATCTCATTAGTATTAATTTTTCTAACTGCTTCCCTATAAGACATGCTGAACTGTTTCCAGGAACTAGGTATTTGTTCTGACCAAAAGCATGCTAAGTACTACTGTACAACTGGGCTCAAATGAATTTACAAGTCAATGTGGGAAACCTATAGCAAAGCAATGACTTAAAATTAGAAATCTTGAACTAAGTCCAGTTCCCCTCATTGTCATAAACATCCTTAGTCAGACATAGAGAAATATAATCTGAACCCAACATGCCTTACTACAGTCATCATTTAAAATTTCTTTTCAGCCTAAAAAGGCTGGAACATAGGAGTTGCCCTCCTGCATTTCTGTACTATAAGATGTCTGAGTAACTTTGGTATATAAATATAAGAAGGAAGTTGAAAGTAAACAGCTATACTGAAATCACTCATCTTTGGGAAGGTATACAGTAGCTTCGTAATATGTTGCCCTTCCCTAGAAAACTGAAGAAAATAAGAGTTGACCAAAACCAATAAAAACCAGGTCTTTGTCTTGAACAAAGAGGTAAAACTTGGACAAATACATACGAGGGTTTTGAACCATACTGAAGAACTGTAACAGTGTAAGACGCAGTTACAAGGGTGCAGTCTTTCAGCCCTAAAGGTGGCCTCAGGTTAATGAGTCTGTAGGGTGCCACAAATTCTCTGAATCTGTGTCAAAATCCACCTTTGTTATGGAACTGTGTAGGAACTCCTGTATCTATATTAATTTCACTGCAAAGGTATGAAAACAGCTACTCTTGATAGATACACTGCAATTTTAACATAGTATAGATACAAGTAATTTTCACATGCACTTCATATGGAAACAGTTTTTATCTTCCCCTACTCTCTGTTCTTCTTTCTCTTTCCCTTCCCCATTTTTCAGTCCTCCAGGTTTTCCAGAGCAGTCAGACAAAGACTTCAGAAAGTCTGAACTGACTGGGAATAGAAGAATAGATTGGAAAAGCAATGCAACTGAAGTCCAACTCTCATTATGACTCAGGTATTATTAGGTTGTAAATGACACTGATAAGTATGTTTAACACTGAGATTAAACATCAAAGGATGTTTCTATAAATTTTCACATTTCCTCAAAGTTTAGCCACCAGCTGTGCATTTGTCATGTCAGTTCATTCCCCATGGAAAGGTGTTTACACTAAAGGAAATGTCAGCACATTTTCTATGTATGTTAGTAGAAGCCTTAAGCTGTCATTTAGGTAGCAAGAGCTACTTTTTGAGTAGAAGATTATAGTTTTATTCAAGACCTAGCACAACAAAAACCTTAAAAAAAAAAGGTAAGTCCTCAGCTCAGTTAGGTGGAGTCCTGGCCATGCAGCAAGGTGCAGTATTGTGAGTGTAGCAAAAAAGTTTAGAAACAGACTATTTTGGAAAACAGAGCAAGCACAGTAACAACATCAGTAACCAGAAAGGAAGGAACAACACTGCCATTCTAGAAATAGAAAGATGCAAGATAAAAGTTGCATGTCAAGAATCTCCATTTTTACTTCTGTGGAGTGGACATCACTGCCCCAAGTGTCAATCTGAATGAGATAAAAGCTCATAGCAAGAACATGCTTACCTCTGAAGGGAGCACCAAATATAGGCAAATGTTCCCCCAAATCCTGTTGGGTTTTGCTACCAATTTGTCAACAGTCTGCCAACAGAATAAAGATGGGCAAGGGAAAAGAGGTTGTCCATTTGCAGAAATGCTATGCTATATATGTTCTGTGTATGAACAGTTAAATTCCTCGACTCCACCTCTGAACCTCAGAAAGCACGATCCAAGAGAAGGAACAACAGAATGCTGGAATCGCTTCCCAGGACTGAGAACACAACAGAATAGGGCTGGAGAAGGAAGATTTGTCTGCAGGTACATGCTGGACCACCTGCTCAGAGGACTGATTGCTCACAACCAGGTTTACAGTGTGGACGCATCCACATTGCTGCGAAACATTGATCTTTGCAGTGCGTGTATTTCCTTTAGAAGAAAGTCTGATGAAACACGACTATTCTATTATTTTACAAATTCTCAGGAAAAAAAGATGTTTCCATTGTTGTTCCAGGAAAAACTAAGGACACTGTTCTTAATAAAAGAAACTGAGCCATGTTGCTTGCTCTAATAACGCAAACTTGGGAAAAAATTCCTTTCTATAAAGACAGTCTTTTAATCAAAGAATTTTCTTCCTCATTCTTTTGAAGGAAAAGATTATATACTGTATTAAATACCCAACATCCTACTGAAAAAGTAGCCTGGGGATATAAGATACAGTTGTAAAGTCAGTGTTCCAGTAAATGTTTTATGAAAACCATAAACCTTGGCTAAAATAAGAAGCAAGCTAACACGGGTAGTGCTGTAAAATAAATAATTAAAACATAGATCATTTTACTGTCTCTCAGTATCTTTTTGAGCTGAACTGTACAGGACATTTATCATTATAAGGAGGAAGAAGTGGAAATCTTCAATATAAATACGGTATCTGCTTTGGGTTTAATTAACACAAATTTAATGAGCATTCCATTTGCTATTCCCATTTCTTAACAAGTAAGCTCACACACAGTTGGGTGACTAGCCGATAACAAGCATATAGGCAACAGCTGAGCTGAAAAAACTATCAAGATATAGCTGGCAAAAGTGAAGTAACAAATTTTAGCTTGATGCTGTTCCACTGAGGTCTACCTGAACTTCTTCCCATATGCCCAATATGGAAATAGAGCACACATGTTCAGAACACATGATATGGCACAGTTGATGCATAGTAACACACATTTGAATCTTATACCCCTTCAGAAAAAGGGTCATGAAGCCTAGCACTTCAAAAATTAAAATAACTTGTATCAAAAATAACACCTCAGAAACAAGAATGAGACTCAAAAATTGGAGATCCATCCACTGGTGATGCTATAAACCTTCTTCAGAAACCTCTGACAGTGGAGATTAAACCCAAGCCAATGGGCTGGGGGCCTAGTGACTGGAAAACAGCTTTGCAGGTGAAAGATCTGGGGGTCCTGAGGGACAAGGAGTTGAGTATGAGCCAGCAATACCTTGAGGTATGGTGCCCTTGAGGCAACGAAGCCCCACAGTATCCTGGGCTGCCTTAGCATCACCAGGAGACAGAGACATGATCTACCTCAGCTTTGGTGAGTCCACATCTGGGAGTGCTGGGTCCAGTCCTGGGCTGCCCAGTATGACAGAGACATAGACATACTGGACTGAGTCCAGCAATGAGCCACAACAAAGATTAAGGGCTTGGAGCATCTGTCACATAAGGAGAGGCTGAGAGAGATGGGACTAGGCAGCCTGGAGAAGGGAAGGATCAAGGGCAATCTTATCAAAGTGTAAAAATACCCAGTTTGGAAGCGGGGCAGGGGGTAAATAGGATGGAAACAGACTCTTGCCCAGTGTCAGGACAAGAAGCAATAGGCACAAAATTGATGCACAGGAAATTCTGTTTAAACATATCTCCATCACAGGAGATCTCCAAAACCCAACTGGACAATGTCCTGAGCAACCTGCTCAGCAGGAGCTGGAGTAGAAAATATCCTAGGGTGCCTTAGGATTATATGATACTAAGACATCAGCAACCTCAGTGATACATGATTTAAGATGAAATATGATTATCTCTTGGCTAAATGAAAACATATTTTAAGCAAAACAATCTTACAAATAGACCCATTAATTTTTAGATGTCTGGGATTACTATAAAAACTTACCTAGTGTAGCAGTAAAGAAGTCACAGAATATTGATAATGGGCATATCTTGATTTTATAGAACATCAAGTTAATATTTCCAGCAAAATAACAACCCTAATCTGTATATAAATTGTAACTAAGCATCTGTATATACATTGTAATCTGTATATACATTGTAACTATGCATCTAAACTGCAGAAATATAAAGCATTTTTAAGAAAATTAAGGCAGCAGGTGGAGGCTCCACAAGGAGCAGATGATCCCCTACCCTCTTGCCAGCAAGCAGAAGGAGGGGATCCAAGAGATGGGGGGGAATGGAAACAGGTCCCTGCCCGGGGCGGCAGGCGAATCCCCTCCCGGCCTCCCTTACCTTCCCAGCTGCCCCTACACAACAGATATGGGGCTCTGGATGTTGAGGGCCAGGCAAGCGGGGAGAGAGGTGAAGGTGAAGGTCCAGCCAGGGGGTTGCCGAGGGCAAGTCAGTCAGTCCCACAGATTACGACTGCCTCTGTTAAGAAAAAAAAGGAGGGTAATTGTCGTAGGCGATTCCCTCCTGCGGGGAACTGAGGGCCTGATCTGCCGTCCGGACTCATCCCACAGGGAAGTCTGCTGCCTCCCTGGGGCCCGGGTTAGGGATGTTACTGTGAAACTCCCTGATCTCGTAAGGCCCTCCGATTATTATCCGTTGCTGGTTGTACAGGTTGGCAGTGATGAGATTACAGAGAGAAGTCCTAAAGCAATCAAAAGGGACTTCAGGGCACTGGGGCGATTGGTTGCAGGATCGGGAGCACACGTAGTGTTTTCCTCAATGCCGCCAATGGCAGGAAAAATGCTGAAAGGAGCAGGAAAACTCACCTGATTAACAGGTGGCTCAAGAGGCTGGTGCCATTGGTGGAATTTTAGGGTTTTTTGATCATGGGAAGGTCTACACGGCACCAGGCCTGCTGGCGGCTGATGGAGATCGGCTGTCTCCAAAGGGGAAAAGGATCCTCGCCCATGAGTTGGCGGGACTCATTGAGATGGCTTTAAACTACGTTCAAAGGGGGAAGGGGATATAAACAGGCTCACTAGTGAGGAGCCCAGGGGTGGCATGGCAACTTTGGGGGTGAAATCGATAGCCCATCTCAAGTGCATGTACACCAATGCACATAGCATGGGCAACAAACAGGAGGAGCTGGAAGCCCTTGTGCAGCAGGATAGCTATGACATA